ACTATGTTAAAAAAAATAAAAATAAAAATAAATTAAAAAAAATATATATATATATCAAAAACTACTGAATCCTATACTCTAAAAAGTGAGCTATATGTATGTGCATTGTATCTCAATAAAACAGTTTAAAACACACACACAAAAAATACTATTTGTGAATAAATAATAACAGGTCCAGTCACTGATCAGACAACCCATCTATCTAACAGTGCAGACACCTTACCAGAGGCAACAAACGTGGTACATGGCAAACTGTTACTACAATTGCTGACTTAGTATGTTCTGGGCACTATGCGCACACTATGCCCTACGGAATGTTTCTAGCAGCTTCTGAAGCTCTGGAGTCAGGCTACAGAGAGCTCCCAGAGAGCACTATATGTCAAGGCTGACATGAACCACTCTTCAGTTGGTTTCTACCACCCTGGCAACATCCGAGAGATGGAAAATTCAAGTTTGGTTCAGTATTTGCTTGACAATGACCCTATGTCTGCCTATTCTCTTTCTTATAGAGATATAGCTTCATAAAAGAAAACAGAATACCAAGTTTCTATTTTAGAAATAATGCTACCCACCATCATCGATCATTCAAGGAAAAGTAAGGAGATGATTTTTATCTATCCATCCATTCATCCGTCTATCCATCCATTCATCCATCCATCCATCCATCCAATTATTCATCCATCCATCTCCTTAATAATGACTTATCTTCACTTATAATAGTCCTGATTAGTACTCAAAATAATGTCAATATAAACATAATTGGAGGCTAGGGAGATGGTTCAGTGGGTAAATCACTTGTTACATAATCATGAGGATCTGAGTTTGAATTCCTAGAATGCATGTGAAGCCAGGATCGACAGCAGGAGACTGTCATCTCAGGGTTCCTATAGTGAGATAAGAGGTGGAAACATGAGAATTCCCAGGAGCTCAAGGGCCAGCTCGCCTAGCACATGCAGCAGCAAGCAGCAAGGCTACTCTAACTCAAATAAGGTGGAAGGTTAGGACCGACACCCAAGGTTGTCTTCTGACTTACAGATGTGTACATTGGCATATGTGTATTCACACTCACATACAAGAACAGTCACATACACATACAAACACACACAACAGAAACATACTTATGTTTGTTCAGTATTGAGTACATATGTAAAAAGCATGTGTATGTGAGGAAGACATGAGGTTCCTGTGTTGATTTGACACAGGAGTTAAACCTGAAGGCTCTCTCTCCAGTGTTTTTGGAACAATTAATTAAAACACTTCAATTCAAGGACACTATTGCCTAATTTGCAAGTAAGAAAGAAGAAGCATACAATCAGTTACACACAGGGATACTAACAGATCCTATGAGTACAAACCAAATCATTTACCCAGGCTTGTGCGGTGAGGAAAACCTTGAAGTCTTCATTAAACGTTAAAGTTGGATGATCAGCAATTCTGTTCAAAAATTTATGCAGTGCCTTCCTGCGGGTCTCAATGAAGTCATCGTTGAAACGCTCTACCATTCCTTTCACTATAAACTTTTCTGGCAATGGCTAAAAGCAAAATAAAAAACAATAGCTATCTGAGGACACAGCAATATGAGAGTGGAATACTGTGGTGTGAGGATGGACACAAGAAGAGAAGGAGATGGGGAAACAAGGTATAAAAGTGACGGAGAGCAGCAACCAGAGAGCGTAAGGATGCTGGTACTTTGTATGTCTATTTTTAAAGAAAATATAATACTATTTTGGGGGAGGATATTTTTGAGATAAGGTCTCCCTGTAGCCCCAGCTGCTTGGAACTCGCTATGTAGACCAGATTTTCCTTGATCTCATCTCACAGAGATCCACCTGCCTCCACCATCCAACTGCTCGAATTAAAGTACCTGGTTTATAGCACTTTTTTGGTCTTTTTGAGACAGGGTCTTCCTGTAGCCCCAGGTGGCCTGGTCTTGAACTCACAGAGATCCACCTGCCTCTGCCTACTGAGCACTGGGATTAAAGGTGTGTGCCAATACTTTTTATAGAAACTATCTCAGGGCCAGAGAGACAGTTCAGCTGGTAAAGGCATATGCTGTCAAGTCTGAAAAAGAGAGTTCCATCTTTAGGACCCAAAATATGGACAGAGAAATGACTCCTGCAAGTTGTCCTCTGACCTCCATATCTGTGCCATAGCACACCTCTGCCCACACAAACAAGCACATACACATAATAAATGTGATTTTTTTAAGTACAAAGGCTGAATTGGAAAAAAATTTTCCATATTATAATAGTTAAAAAAACTAAACTATACTTAGATGAAAGGTTTATAAGTAAATCTTACTAAGATACATGAATTACAGTGACTTTAAATGTTTAATATTATATTTGAGACATTCTGAAAGACTCAAGAACGAATAGAAAAATAATGACTATTCCATAAAAATCAAACAAACCCACAACATTACAAACTTACGGGAATAATCAGAGTGGGATATGCTTCTTCCAGTTTCCCCTTCAACCAAAGGAAATCTTGATAGCGTCTCCTGACTTCAAATTCACTGGAATCAAATTCCCCACGCGATGTCTGAGGAAAACAGGAGCACAGAATAGAGAAGACATGTGCTTACTGCTATTTCAGACACTAAGAAAAAACAAGGGTCTCTAAGAAAGATTCAATCCTAATTATTCAGTGTTTGTCAGCCTGTATGTTTCTTTCTTCCAGTCATCTATTCATGTACCACATGAAATTAAGCAAACTTTCCTGTATTTCCAGAAAGAAAGCAAACACCATGCTTAAATTTGAAGTCCAAACTGAAAAAATCTGTCTTACAACAACCATCTGCCTTCCACAAGATTTCAACTACTATTATCTCTGGAATGACTTTCTCGCCTAGGGAGAAAGTGTGTTCTGAATGTAGGTTTCCAATAGAATTCTTTTCTAAACATGATTAGAATTCAGAATTTGAGGAAAGTCCTATTTTTACAATTTGGAAAATAACCTGAACATAACTGAGAAAAAAAGTTTACTTGGAATTTGCTCAAATGAATTGATTTCACTAAATTTGCTTTTGCTATGTAAAATGCTAACATTTTGCACAGTGCTTTTGTCACTGTTTTTTTTTAAATGTAATTAATGGATATTTGATGTGAAATTTTTTCTATCATTTCTCAAGTTTTATTTTGAGCTATGTGCCTAAACTCTCAAAATTTTAGCAAGTACATTAAGCTATCCGTTCTTAGTAAATCAAAGTCCATGCCAACACATATGCCAAGGACATGGGTTCAATATTAACCTCATATCTACTGCCTGAATCTCAGGCCAAAAACAAAAATAGAGTTTCTCTAATGCATACTTAATGCCATGAGAAAATAACCACTTTCCCCAATACCACAGTTCACTGCATTTTTTCAGATTATGAATTATATACAGTAATATTTAGGTTGAGATTTTCCTGGAGGAGTAATGATAGAACAACATACTGCAGCTATATTCCACCATCACCACATTAACAACCACCCACAGAGATGAACCAACTATAAAATTAAGCAGTTCAAATCATAAAATACAATTTTAATTGTCGGTAAATTGTCAATAAGATCATGAAAGCTATACATCCTAAACTTTATTTCCTTAATGTATATATTTAAAATATGAAGTATATCTCAGTAAAATATGTTCTTTTTGGTAGGAAAAGGGTTCATTAGATGCAGAAGCCTAAGAAACTAAATGTTCATAAATCACGACAAAAATGTATTCTGTAAAATGATACATGGCATGGAAGTAGTAAAAAACAGAAAATCTAAATCTAGCAGAAACACAGTTTAATTATACATATATTAGGTGTTATATGTACATATGTATGCAGATACATAACTCTTGCTTATATACATACACACACAAATTGTGCATTAGAGTATCTCACTCACTGACTTACTGTGCAACCCCTTGCACAGGCACTATGTTAGGGTTCACCACCAACTTTCCAAACAACAAACTCCTGGAACTAATAAGAAACTATGCATTCAAGAAAAGGGTGGTGGAAACTGATTCAGCTATGTGTGTCCTCAACCATTTCCAACTCTTCAGTAAACAAAACAATTTGTTAAAAAAGTTCAGCGAGCCGGGCGTGGTGGTGCATGGCTTTAATCCCAGCACTTGGGAGGCAGAGGCAGGTGGATCTCTGTGAGTTCGAGGCCAGCCTGGTCTACATAGTAAGTTCCAGGACAGCCAGGGCTACAGGGAGACCACAAAAAAGACAAAAAAAAAAAAAAAAAAAAAAAAAAAAAAAAAAAAAAGTTCAGCGAGATGCTATGAAATCAAATCAAGGAATTAGTTGATTCTGTCCTCCTCACTCTGTCAGACTTAAAAGAATTTTCTAATATACAACAGCAGTCGAGGAAGAAAACAGAGAAGTTCAAGTCTGGGGATAATACTTGACGTCTTCCAACTACGAGACCTTATACTACTCCTGAAGAAATGATGAGGATAAAAGTCATGGTCCTCTGAGTCTTGACAACGACTGCTTTCTCCAGTGCAGACAATGGAATCCTCACATCTAAAGCAGCAATGCTTTGTCATTAGAAGACAAACGAAAGCTTCCAGACTCTAAGTCACTGAGTTTGCTGACAGGTCTCCAACTTAGATGAACACATATTCTACAAAGTTCCTTTGGACTTCCAATAATACTTCTAATCTAGGGTGCTGTTTTCCTTGGGCATAATATTATAAATGGTGGTTAATTTTTACACGTGACTCTAAAAGAACAGGAACTTGAAGTTTATCACTAACAGATTCCTGTGACACATACTCCAAAATTCATTCAACAAACATGGCCTTTGATGCAGGGCAAACAGCTATTCTAAGCTCTGAAGGTTTACAAAGCTGTTTTGAATGAAGACGATTCCTAATAACCCAGCCAATAAAGAACATTAACCTCTACCTATGTGAGTAGGCATTTGATGTATGCACTTTTAGGAACCACAGTGAGCAGCACTGTGGAACCTCTGCTAGAAGACAGGACTACAGAGGCAGTTCAGAATCTTTCAGCTATAAGAGATGTACTTCCACATTTATGACCCAGGCAGGTGTAGGATGAGACTTCATTAACAAGATATTTAACTTGTAAACTGAATTCATAGACACTCTTTAATAAAGGACTTAAAACATCGATTATACTTTGTTTTGTCTGGCATCAACTGTGTTTGTTTTTTTTTAAAGGATTATAGACTTAGTTTCTGTATCTACTTTTCTTGTGTTATTGAAAAAACATTTCATGTGCAAATTACAGTGGTCACTTGTTCCTGTCTGAGAAATAAATTATATTACACTTTGCAATCTTCAGAAGAATTACGACTATAAAATGTCATGCATATGCTGTTTTTATTTGTTCTCTATATTAGAAACAAAATGGTTTTCTTTTCCAAAGGCACTCATTTATTGGTTTGTTTGTTTGTTTGTTTGTTTATTGTGTTTCTTTTGAGATAAGATCTCATTATGTAGCCCAAGCTGTTCTTGAACCCATTCTATAGCCCATGATAGCCTCGAACTAGAGTTTGTCCTGCCTCAACCTCCCAAGGCTGGGATCCCAGTAATGCATCACTACATATGACTATTTGTAATATATATATATTGGTCTTTTTGAAATAGGGTCTCCCTGTAGCCCCAGCTGGCCTGGAACTCACTATGCAGACCAGGCTGGCTTTGAACTCACAGAGATGCACCTGCCTCTGCCTCCCAAGTGCTGGGATTAAAGGTGTGGGCCACCACGCCCTGCAACTATTTGTAGTATTTCATGTAAAACACAAATAGTCTTATTCTTAGAAATACAACTAAATAAAAGACCTCTTATGAAGTCAATTTACATATCAAACTTCAAATGAACCAACTAAAGAGTAGATAAAATGCAATGTCTCACCCCAAATTACTTTAAAAATAAGTCAGTGCAACTGATTCAATAATACTGAATTGTAATGACCAATAAGCATTTCCTTACAAGTTCAAAGAGAGCAATGATAGTCAAGAAAATGCTCACTCAACATTTACCTTAGTTACAATCCTGTAAGTAATGAAAGTTTCGATTGTGGTAACATGGCTTTCAGGTTCATCAACTGTAATGAAGAGATCCTTTAAATCTGGCTCATCTTCAAACTTGATTTGGTTTATCATTGATAAAGGGGATGTTGGCATCATAGGGCTGAAGGAGCTCATGTCCATCAAGGAGGCATCCTAAGGAATAGAGCATTAAAAAGATTAATATCTGGGGGCTGGAGAGATGGCTCAGTGGTTCAGAGCACTGGCTGCTCCTGAAGAAGACCCAGATTCGGTTCCCAACACCCATATGGCTATGAACAGTCATCTGTAATTCCAGTTCCAGGAGATATGATGCCTTCTTCTGACCCCCACGGATCCTGCATGCACATGGTACACTTACCTACATGCAGGTAAAACACACACATAAAATAAAAATTAATTAATTAATTTAAAAAATTAACATCAGGGACTGAGGATATGCCTCAGTCAGTTAACGGCCTGCTGCATAACCACAGGGACCTGAGTTCAGATACCCAGCACCCACATAAAAGTCAGTGTGGCGCTATACATCTGTAATTCCAAGACAGGGAAGCACAGGCAGGTAGCTCTCTCTGGAGCTCACTGGGCAGCCCGTCTAGTGGAACAGACAAGCTCCAGGTATAGTTAGAGACCTGTCTAAATGTTAAGGTGGAGAGCTATGGGGGAAGATATGCAGTATCAACCTCTGACCTCCATATGCATATACATACACACATGTATGCTCACCACCATACATGTGTACACACTCAAACACATACATATGCCACACACATAAACACATAATAATAATATCAAAAGAAAATTAGTGACAGCCTTCAATGTCTGAGATATTGCCAATACTAGAAAATATGGTAAAAACAAGAAGGGCTCCTGGACTTATGGCTAAATATGTATGGCAGGCATTTAATTATAATAAACATTCATTTTCAGTATGTACTTCCTCATAAACTCTCATCTTAAAAAAAAAGAGACAAGAGACAACAAAAAACAGCATAAGCTTGCAAGAATTCCTTGGATTTGAATGTTTGCATTTCCTCTAAAATCAAGCTGAAACAACCCTCAATTCAATAGTATTAAGAGATAAGGTATTTAGAAAATAGTTATGTCATGAAAGTAAAGATTTAGTACATAGCAATGATGGATTTATAAGAGTTGGAGGGAACTAACTAGCCACTTTTCAACCTCCTGCCTTCTTCCACAGAAGGACCCAGAAACAAGGCACCATCTTAGAAACAGAGTTCTCTTTCTTACACGCTAAGCGTGTCACCACCTTGACCTTGGGCTTTTAAGCTTCTAGAACAATGAAGAATCAATTCTTATTCATTACAAACAACCCATCCTCAGGCATTTCATATAGAGGCATAAATGAACTAGGAGAAACATAAAAAGAAGCACACACGTGCATGTGGATCAACACACACGTGCACCACATACTCACGAACACACATCTACACATGCATGCACACCACACTCAGAAAAAAGTTACAACTTCAAATTTTGCAATCTACTGCAGTAGCAGATGACTCTCCTATCCAATTTTGTAGATGAATGTCAGTGTCATCTCTAAGAAAATCTCCACACTCGAAGGGTGCAGGAAAAGGGGAGGGACCAGTCAAAATACAGACAGCAAAGCAGAGTCCTGCATTTCATAAGCAGAAGGTTTTCAGGACAGTGTGTGTTCCAGTCCATGTGTGGTACTTTCTCCAAGGACTTTCAATTCATTTTAAAGAAACTGAATATTTATGAACAAAAATATGAGTTCTGGGAAATACACATATGATGCACCCCCCATCATACATTCCATTTAGATGGAGATGCATGGATAGACAGAAATAGATGGGAACTCCTCCCAGAGTTCACACTTGCACTGATTAGGGTTAGTTTTTGTCAACTTGACATACCCTAGACATACCTAGGAAGGGGGAATCTCAGCTGAGGCATTTCTTCCATCAGACTAGCCTGTAGGCCTATCTTTGGAGCACTGTCTTGATTGATTGATAGCCAGGGTGGCTAGTGCTATACCTGGAAGGTGGGCCTGTGCTGTATAAGAAACATATCTGAGCAAGGCAGAAGAAGCAAGGCAGTAGGTAATGGTCCTCTGTGGTCTCCATTTACCTCATGCTTCCAAGATCCTGCCTTGCCTTCTCTTAATGATGTACTATAAGCTGCAAGCTGAAATAAACCTTTTCCTTCTCAGTTTGGTTTTGGTCAATGTTTTATCACAACAATGAAGAATCAAAGTAGGACAACATAAATGCCTCTTTTATTGTTTTTAAATTAGAATATATGCCACACTGGCAGCAACACTTTCTGAACAAAACGATGCACAGTTAGTGTGCAGCCAACATCTTCAGCAATGCTGGCTGATCATGGACACTTCATAAAGTATTTTATAAAGGAATAAGTCAATGATAACACTCCTGTTCATAGAGCAAATGAGGACCTAAGCTGTGGGACAGGAAGTATATGAGAGACATGAGTCCCTGCGACCTCCCATTCTAGTTTGACACTACATGGCCTATTTAGCTGTCTTCTTTTCCATATTTGTGACCCTTTTCTCCAGCAGTAAGAAGTCTGTCTTTCACTATTGAATACATCTACATATTGTTCAATCTCTTCTTACTAATTTTCCCATCAGCTGCCCCCTCAGCTCTGAGGACAGAGCCAAGACAGACTCATTTTCAATGGCAAATCTTGTTGGATGCCTCCTCAGCTTCAATCCCTCTGGACATTTCCTTGACCACACTCATCATAAATTCATTTGCCTTCAATTGCTTAGTTTTATTTATGTAAGATGAAAGCACACATCTGTAATCCCAGCATGTGGGGGGCTAAGGCAGAAGGCTTCCAGGATCTGGGGATCAAGACCAATCTGAGCTATATTAAGACACTGTTTGAAAATAAAACAAAAATAAAAGAAAGAGAAGAAATGAATAAGGAAGGACTACGTATATTTTAGCAAAAAATATTTTAAAAGAAAATATTCTATTTAACTTCATACACTGTCTCATTCATATACAAAGTTAAACAACACTGTCAACAAGATGTCTGAGTTATTTCTGTATTTGTACTAATGTTTTTTTTCTTACTTTTTTACCCATGTGAATCAAACATTTGTGTATTATTATCAAAAAAAAAAAAAAAAAAAGCCAGTTAACTGACACAACTAAATCTGGTGGACGAAAGCTCATTTAACATTAATAACAAAGTTGGCCAATCCTGAGTGGAAAAGAAGGCCCAAGCAGCTTCCAATGCAGTCTTTGATATCAACTAAACAGGTTGGATATTCAAACCACTAATACAGGCGTTTTAGAATAAAATAAGGAGTCAGACTTGATGATGTCCAAAATTTCTCACAGCATCAGATACATTAACCTAGTAAAACATAAAAAATAGATGAATAAAAGACTGAATAAAAAGTAGCATTTTTAAAAAGGAACTTTTGGGGGGTGGAGTCATGAAGTGGGGGTGAAGTCAAATATAGATTTGTTTTTCCTTCAAACCAAATCGATAAAAATGCTTTTGAGGAATCAATGCCATCAGAGCACTGTTCTAATGGCTCTTCCCACAAAACGTTTAGCTGTTCAAACTCTAACGCAGCAAGAAGAAATACCTACAACAGAAGAGGTTGCTATGGGACACAGTCACCACAGAGACAAGGGTAATCATGGCCCTTAATATAACGAAGGTGCAGGTTGCTGTAATCACATAAAGATCTGTGAAATGTAAACATTTAGACATGATTTGAACCAAGGAATAAATATCATAAAGTGATCAAAAGTAATTTTATTTTTTGACACTTATTTTTATTTTTACTTATGTGTATGCCTGTGTGTGGAAATATGTACAAGCAGTTGCAAGTGTCTGTGGATGCCAGAAGATAGTGTCAGATACCCTGGAGCTGGAGTTACAGGAGATTGTGAGCCACCTAATGTGAGTGTCAGGAACTGAACTTGGGGCCTCTGCAAGAGCAGCACATTCTTAACCATCTGGCCATCTCTCAAACCCAAAGGTGATGTTTTAAAAGTATATAAAATACTTGGAAAAAGTTTCATTTCATGTTATTAGACAAAATTAGTTCATAAAATCTGTGCCCAACTAGATTCCAATGTACATTACTAAATGCCTGATCAAGGAAAGGAAAGCAAGCGACATGGGAAAGAAGGGAAAGAGGGAACGAACTTAGAACTACACAGAAAAGCAAAGCTATTAACAGAAGGAATTTCAGATGTTGGGATACTTTTTAGTTCATATTTCTTCTATGTGACTTTCCACATTTTCCAAATATTCTAAAATAAATGCATTATTGTGTAATCAGAAATAGATGTTAAAGTTGCTGCAGAGAGAATTGTAGATGCTAATGTTCAGAGGTAGAAAGCATCATGATGATAAGTTAAGTGTCTAGGGCTAATTTGTCAGGACATCTTGGACTGTATGTGCTTTTCTTTTTTCTAACTCACCAAGGTTGCCATAATCCAATAAAAAAGAGAATTATCTAAAATTAAATATGTGATGATGATATAACAGAATCCTCAAAAGCCACTAACAGAACTTAGAACTTGCAAATAAATGTGCCATACACATGCACACAAATCTTTTAGAAACCATTTAATATAAATAGTAGTTTTCTAAACGGACAAATTTTAATTTGGTGGGCCAACGTCCTTTAAATTTCCCTGACATTGCATGCAACCCTGTGCTTTGGCACTCCGTCCTCACCCACTCTGTTCACCACAACCCACATCTTTTACTTACTACATAATTTAGTGTTCTATTTCTTCAGCTTAAAATGCACCCTTTTGTAGAGTGGGAACAATCTGCATTAATTTACAAAGGCTCACAATTCCAAAGAGTGTAGTGTGGTGTCATAAAATATGCTTCGATCTCTAGCAAAGGAAGAAAATTACAGACTGAAATTTAGCAACATGCAAGAGTTCAGTAGAAGGATTTCAATTGCTATGAATTACTTAACATTCCTAAAACCTAAAAAAAAAAACTACCCAGTGTTTTATATTCACTCCAAAAAAGAGAAAGAAAATATACTGACACTGCTTAAAAGATTTACATCAGATATGAATAATTGAAAAAAATAAGTGTTTAAGCGAAATCAAAGGAGCAATTAACCAAAAGGAACTCCATTTAACCTTTTGCAGTCG